CCATTATTATTACTGATGAAATGCTCATCCGATCTACTAGCCAGTTTCAAGCCTGTAAAAGCTGGATCTAGCAAACTGACACCACGAAAACAACTCAAATATGCCTTCTCCTATTTGAAATCACTATGGCGATTATTATTAGCATTCAGTGCACGGAACAAAATGTGAATTTACAACAATAATGTCAGTTTACTCATGCATTCGAAGCAATTGTCTAGTACTTGTCGATTCATGTCATCCCCTTCGTTTCCGATTTCAATGTCGGTCATGTCCACTAACTCGCTCGATAATCAGTGTCACAGTGTCACACAAAATACTTGGAGGATCTTGACTTCACCGATGATATATGTCTGATTTCCCACAAACTGGAAGATGTGCAAGCGAAGAGCAACAAGTTAGCAGAAGAAGCATCAAAGATAGGAATTCAGGTGAACATAGAGAAAACAGAGGTGATGAAGATTCCTGGGCAACACCACCAACAGCAACAACAACAACAGGCAACAACAGACAACGATCAGCATAAATGGAAGGAACCTGAAAGAAACAACCTCCTTCACCAACCGACCTGGGGAGCATCGTTTCAACTACAGGCGAACGGAACTGACGAGAATATCAAAGCAAGAATCGGAAAAGCAAGACAAGCTTTCACTACTCTCAAGTCTGTGTGGAGGTCAGCAACACTCATCATCAAAAATAAGATCCGGATTTTCAACTCCAAGGTGAAGTCAGTGCTACTCATTATACGGATGGATCAGAGACTTGGCCATCGCGTCATAAAGAGCATCTCAAACAAACTACAGACCTCCATTAACAGTCGTCTTCGCTCAATAATGCTCAAGATCAGATGCCCAGCCGGCCAGAAAAGATCAGCAACAGGGAAGGATCTCTGGGAGCGAACCACCCCAGCAGGAACCGATTGTGAAACAAATAGGCAGGGGGAAATGGAGGTGGATTGGCTGGCCATACTCTGAGGAAACAATGCATCAAGTGACATCACAGGACAAGCCATTGCTCGAGTGGAACCCTACCGATTGGGAAGTGGCGAGTTGGTCGTCAGTGCAAGGGTGACTTGGAGGAGGTCATATGAAGAGGATATGAAAGCATGTGAGCAGACATGTAGCCAGGTGAAGACTCTAGCAGAGAACCGAACGCATTGGAGACGCACGGCTGAAGCCCTATGTTCCTGTAGCAACTAAAGGATACAATAATAATAATATTGATGAAAAGCTGAGGAGAATGGGAGTGACTAGTAAAGTAGAATTATAACAGATATAATAGTTAAGTAGATCTGGAGTCTTAATTGTAAGTTCAGCTGAGTGATTGAGAATCGAAAACAAAATTAATTGGAATGTTACGCAACAGGACAAAACACGAAACTGCATGAACAAATTAATAACAGTTGCCATGTTATGGGAAGAGTAGTCAAGACTCTCTCTCTATCTATTTTTAGTAATAATAATACAAAATCACGCCTTTTATTCTTAACATCATGTTAACACACAGTACAAGGCAGAGATAATTGCAATAAGTCTAAATTAAGAACATTTTCCAGTAGATGACTTAGGCATAGGTACAATTTTAATGTCCTTCCAAACGGCTGGTACGACATTTTAGGAAAAAGATTCATTAAGTAGGTCGATGAGAGGATTGCACAGGATATCTGCACACTTTATTAGAATCACACAAGGCAAACCATCTGGACCTTGGCTACAAGAAGGGTTCAGCGACTGGAGGCATTTTAGAACATCATTTGTATTGAAACCAGCGAAGTAGGTTTCATTAAAACTGGCAAAACTAGAAAGTTTGGCATTTGTGGGCGAATGTATGAAAGACATGTCCAGTGTGCAAACATCAAGGAAATAAGGAATACTGTTCATCTGGTTACCACCAGTAATTCTCTTGTGTACCGTTCAATAAATTTTGGGTAAAATCCTTACAATACAACGATCAGAGTTGAACAGTGGGGCTCTTTTACGAGTTTCGTATACTCCGCAGCTGTTTGTAAATACAAGATCAAGAGAGGTATCCAGTCGAGTGAAAACGTTGACGACGTTTTCATGACCTAGAACTGTGAGAAAGCTGCAGTCACAAAAATTAAAATCACCTCCCAGTATGGACAACGAGTTACAAAAGAGGCGGCAGCGAAAATAGAGAATTCATCTGGAAATCTGGATGGTTATAAGTGCTACTGTAAAGAAGAAAAGACCGAGGATGTGTACCCTATTTTCAAACAGACGTTTGAACACCATTTACCACATCCTTGACAAGTTAGTCCAATATCGTCACATTCGATAGCTTCTTGAATTCTGCATCATATGGTAAGATTCTTCTCATGGTTGTTCTCTTTGATTTGTTCTTTCCAGTGTGCAAAACATATTGTTACTTTTCTGAATTCGCTTTCTGATATACTACTTATATCGGACTATGTGTAGCACTCACCACACTGCAACAAGGTGTGACATAAATGTTCGTGATAAAAATGAAGTTGTACATAGACAGGTGTTAAGGGTACATTTGACAGTTAAACAGTCAATTTAAAACATTTATTTCCCGATAGGAATTGAAAACAAGCAGTAAATGTTAATAAAGCAGGATTTAATGAATTCATCAAATTTCGGTAGAACTCATCAGCTGAATACTCTCTATACACGTATAGATATATGTTTGATTCCATCGATTTAGTTACAATTTCCATCGATCTCATCAATAGATTCTACACCGGACTTCTAAATGTAATAGCTATTCTACAGCTGAGTGTATGAAATCGTAGCAGAGAAACTCATCGGGTTTTAAAAGATCAATACGCGTACTCGAACAGAGTTATCTTTCGCAGTCAGAAAATAATTTCCACCACTGTCTCTTTGAGTTACAGTGATAATTATAATAATAATCTGGTGGCCTGCTTGAATCACTGGGCTGCTGAATTTCTACCAGGTTCAATGCTGCATAAACCTCAATCTAAAGAAACTCGTGGTGTAGCTCACTGAACACAATATCGATAAGAGGAGCAGATGTCATCTCAGACAAATATAAAGTGTTATTACCCTTTATGATCAGGTTGAAGGATCCCATTATGGAAGGCTTTCCGATCAGGCATCCACATTGACAGTAATGTGTCTGTAGACAATCAGTCCATAATTCTCACAGCATCTTAATCTCTCATTGTGTTGACAATTTGAATATATTGGAAAACTTCTTCTTGGAAAAGGAACGAAGAGAGGAGATTGAAAGATTTACTAAAACATTTGTCTTCTAATATCCACGTAATCATGGCGTGATTATCATTTCTATAAATAAATTGAACTCTATCAAAGAACGTAAACAATTTTCTTTACAGAAAGCATAATTAGTCAGAGAGAAAAGGTAAACTATGTGTCTCATTACACGTTAACAATAAGAGCAGGTTATGTGAAGGAGACAGTTTTCACTTAGAATAACAGACTACTTGTAGGCTGACGAAATAAGTAGCACTTCCGTGAGAAGTGTGGTGAGTTGGTTGTAAATACGAAGATAGTATGCAATAGATGAAGACGATGAGTGATCAAAATAGGAGGATTCAGTGTGAGGAGTGACGGTTGACCAGTTAGTTGAAAGTCGTTCAACGGGTTTGTTGACTGGCTAGTTAACATAGACAGTGTGCTTTCAATTGGAAGGAAGGAAGACTGTGGTAGTAAGTAATTCCATATTAGTTTGTTAATTAGGTATATCTTACAGTGAAACAGTATTATTTACTGGATGACGTTTCTAACAAAATTCATTGTTCATAATCATATCAATTTTCATATTACCCCTACGACAAATAGGAGAAAACGAAGAAAACTATAAAACTCAAGTCTCAAAGTCCTGTGATGCAAATTGATATGACTATGAACAATAAATTTTGTCCGAAACGTCATCCAGTAAATAATAATGTTTCACTGGGTGATATATCTAGTAAACAAACTAATATGGAATGAATTCTCAGAAGTCTGTGTAGAGTTCTCCAACCTCATATATTTTACAGAGATCCCAGTTTAGTAATCATGTCGCCATTTGTGATGTTTACCCATAACTGTTTTCAGCTGTCTTTACAAATCTTCCTTCTTCTCTTCTTCTGAGATGTTTGCAGCCGCGTAACATTCAATCATTTTAACTTTGATTCCATGCCTACTTCGTTTTGTGTTAAATCTTGCTGCCATAATCTCAGGTGAGAATGTCTCTCACTGCATAAGGGCTTTGACTGCTGTAGGCTATATCTTGATTGCCACCAACTGCATCAGTGTGCTCGTCGTTGTCGTATGAGTGGCCAGAACACAGTCGACTCTTGACTATCCAGTTGAATGTTTGCAGAGTCCAATTGCATTTCATCTGCTCTCACGTGTTTCGAGCACCTCGATCCTCCGTCTCTTCATCTGTCTTGCAACCTGACACTGACAAGCTGTTCCGCTACATTGTCAGTGATATTATTTCTCTCAGATATTGATTATTCCATGATGAACTACTAACTACAGTCTTCCTATCTCCTATTTAATAGCACACTGTCTATGTTAACTATGTTAACCAGTCAGTCAACAAACCCGTTGAACGACTTTCAACTAACTGGTCAACCGTCACTCCTCACACTGAATCCTCCTATTTTGATCACTCATCGTCTTCATCTATTGCATACTATCTTCGTATTTACAACCAACTCACCACACTTCTCACGGAAGTGCTACTTATTTCGTCAGCCTACAAGTAGTCTGTTATTCTAAGTGAAAACTGTCTCCTTCACATAACCTGCTCTTATTGTTAACGTGTAATGAGACACATAGTTTACCTTTTCTCTCTGACTAATTATGCTTTCTGTAAAGAAAATTGTTTACCTTCTGTGATAGAGTTCAATTTATTTATAGAAATGATAATCACGCCATGATTACGTGGATATTAGAAAACAAAAGTATTAGTAAATCTTCCAATCTCTTCTCTAGTTTTGTCTTTTGAAGTCATTTTACTAAATTTATTTTTGTATAAATACGTGGCTCATGGAACATTTGCTCAGAATCATGTCGTTCGCTCTCTTATCGTTGGCAATCATTGCGTTGGTGTGTCCATTGACAGGTAAACCACACTGTATTTCAATGTCTACGTGTTACGTGTTTATTTCAACTCTTCCGTAATTGAATAGAATTCACTTCTGAATTGTGAGTGACAACTGCTTATGTAGTACATGATAGTCAGTGATTTGTGTGGAGATATGGACCACTCCATTCTATCAGATTTATCAGAAGTCGATATGAATATCATTTTCTGATGAACTCCTGGTCTGACATGACAATCCAATCTTGTCATTTTCCTAACACATACCAATTACACGAATTCGCATACATCTCATACATTCCTGCTGCACAAATTGTATTCATTGAGGATTTCAGTTCCATGACCACAAACTCATCTTGATTCGAATCAGTTTGAAACTCGTGCTGAATGTAGATTCTTTGCATAAGATAAGCATTCAGGTGGTTTCTCTACGAAATCATAGATGAAAGATTCTTCCTCACTGTCGACCAAGTGATTCGTACGAGTGAATATTCTCAATTATTGATTAGAATTATTATGTACTTATTTTTTTTCACTTTTTCATTTATTTATACATGCTCCAGTTAGTAGTAAATATGGTAAGTCATTCCATATGGAACAGTAATTCGAGTATTCACGTATTCGTTAGTGTATTGTAATCCATTTGTGTCTGACTTACAAATTCTTTAAAAATGTGAAGTTGCTCGTTGAGTATTCAGTCACATCAGGAGTGATTATTTGAGAATACTGCACTGTCAAACTTTCGTAAACTTCTCTCTACAAATCATAGATTGTTGGCTAGCTACAGACTGTCAAAAATTAAATATTCTGGTGGTGAAATATCCTGTGAACATTGCAAAGAAAGGTTTTACGTGAATCAACTACATCTAATCCAAAATGATGAGGGCGTTGCACGTGGAGTATCTGAATACTGTGGATATGTGAAAATCGAATTTATCATTTCACATTTCCTAACAGTGAAAAGTTGAATTCTCATTATATTTCGTAGTCACACAGAGTATTCACACTGTCTAGGTGGTCATCGTGCGAGACTAGTCAGTTGCTATTCAAATGGAGCTTGAGACTCAGGATCCTCGGATATACCTATTAATACTTCTTTTGGAATGAGTGAGAGGATATATCAAGCTGAACCATTCGGTAATCTCAAGTGGGAAGTTCTCTTCAATACGCTATTCATTGATCATATTGACCAGTATTATTCAGTTTTATGAAATAGAAAACGTGCTGGCACACATATTCTCTGTGTCACTCATTCTTTGAGCCGAACTAATCATGGCATTCATTCAAGCTCAATTCTCTGAATTGACTCTAGATTTTGTTATTTTAAAGATGCGGATCGTCTCGCCGAAGACATAGATTATTTACAATCTAGAATCAACTGGTATAGCAGTAAGCGAATTTGTTTCAACATATTCTTAAATTTCATACATTTGCTTAACATTTGATGAAGTAATCAAGTTTATGTTGATTGAATCAAATTGAATTTTCATTTGTGGAATGATTGATCATATTCTCTCCGAATTCGCAATTGTCTGTGTTTGAGGTGGTTGGTGAAGCATATGCAGGTAGCATGCAACACCGGAGCACTTTGTGAATGTAGACTAATTCAGTATGACTGATCTCTAGATTTTCCATTGAAGATCATTCATGTAGTCATTATCAAGTGATTTGTGAAACAATTGCCATTTTTATTTCACAGACGGCGTTAAGAATTACAAGAAATTTTTGAGCATTCTACATGATGATCTAAAGGTATCTCAAGGTGCGTTTAAAATCCTGCTTATACTTACCATATTGCATTTTGTATGTTGTCTCTGAATTTGTTGTGTCAGTGTTGCTTCAACTAAATAGTACGCGTGTGAAGATCACACTGTGTCATGGTAGTAGTAGTAGTATTAGTAGTAGTAGTATTAGTAGTAGTAGTAGGAGTAGATATAGTAATCAACTCAAACTTATCCGATTGTTGGACATATCACAGAGTGGAACAGGTTTCTTCACCAGATGATGTTTTGAGTTGAGTGTGTGGTTTGCATTGTTATTATTCTCTGAGTATTGCTCAATATTTTGTACATGGGCATGGAATAAATAACAGTGGAATGCTGTTCAAATGTGTGTGTAAACACAAATATCCGGGGATCAGTAGAGACAGTGAAATTGATGATACCGTACAGTCGTTTGTCTATTCATCAGCTTTTATGTCAATAGTTGAGAAGTGAGCAATATTGACAATAGTGTCCTCCTATGTCCAGCGATCATGACACATATTGCATGAGTCACCAGACTGTTCGTCTTTCTCCCAATCCAGATCAATTGGAAACAAGCGGTGGTGAAAAGAAAACAACTATCGCTGAGTGTAAGTCAACAAATCAAATCAACATTGACAATTAATCGTTCTTTTAGTTGTGAAGTGCGTCACCAAAACTTCTGAAGACTCCTACAAACCGGCGACCAACAGCAGTATGTGAAATATTTTTGTTCATTTTCAACCTGCAAACAAAGTGACTGGACTGTTGTAATCTTTCGTTAAAAAATATAGATTTTGAATTAACACCCCTTCTGAATATCACACAGATATATGTGGGCTGACGTCCAGTTATTTAAACAATTTCTTTGAATACTGCATCACATGGTTAGGAATTTATTGCATTTTCTCACACTGATTCTTGTCTATCCTGAATTTGTCGTGTATTTACTTGTTTTGTCAGTCCTTTCATACACCATCAGAAAAGTGCATCAGTCATATTGTAAGTACGCTTTCGTAACTCATAGTAGATCCTGATTGATGTTGTTTGCTTCACACCACAATCGGCGAGTTGTCCAAGGTGATTTGTGAGGGAAATTCAGTTGAGTCACACTACTGCTCTCGAAGGATGTGCATTAAAGTGACAGATTGTTTTCAGCTGCTTAAGACGCTGATCTCATATTTCACTATCAGTCAGTAGGCCACAACCAGTATACTAGAGTATAAGTGTGTTGAATCTCTGAATAATTATCCATAATTGCAAAGACAGTCGATTTATTTGACAAAATATTGAACTATAGGCCAGATGGCGGAACATACGTGAAATTATCCATTGAATTTGCTCCTTTCGATCACTATGACAGGTGATTCTCGAATTATCTGTCAATAAATATTCTCTTCTCTTTACATTTTGATCAGGGGAATTCTTCGTCATACCTGAGGATAAACCTCTCTGGAAACAATGGCTTAACCATGGGTTTGAATGTAAGCAGTAATATTATTGCTTGAACAAGTTGATTTCATTTCTGCTTGCGGCTTCTCACTCGTCTCACTGAGTTGAACATCGTTGTGTTCTAATCCACTTTATTTAACTGGTAACTTAGTTATCGTTGATAGCATGAGCGTATGACTAAAAGACAGATGTGTTTATCTGTAAGATATTTGAGTGAATTCATCAGTCACTGTCAATACTATCCTCTCTTTTTTTAATAGATGTTCATAAATCCCCAGATTTCACAGTTTGTGATAGTCTCCTATCGAATAAACACACTAAAGGTAATTTGAAACATATCATTGCTTTTGTGGATGATTATTTCATCAGATTTATCTTTCATATTTCACAGGCAGATGTTTGTTGATTTATTTGACTGTATAATAATTGACAGTGACTTCTATGCTACAATTTTTGCGAGTGATGAAGCTAATCTCTATAAGTAGAAGGTCTACTGATTAGAAAATACGCTAATGATTCTTCTTCCCGTGCATTTTTCACCGACTAGATTTCTAAGATTGTACTATGAATAATACTATTGTTCCTTTGGATTTCACATCAAACATACGGATTTAACAGCAAATCTCCACTATATCCTGCTCTTGTCAATTGCTCTAAGCCAGCCTCAAGATTGTCAATAGCCTCTAATTCATTCGTCGCACGATCTTCTCAATGTCTTCACATTCGGACACACGCTCAAGTCTTCGTTTCTTACCCAGGTTGCAATAGAGCTATGACTGGCATTGAGCGTGACTTCAACAGACGCTCTCCTCAGAGTGTGTCCGATCCATCTCAATTTTCTTCTGCATATTTTGTTGATCAGTAGGTTCTTGGTTGGTTCGTTCTCAGAGTTTCTTTTCGCTTATTCTCTCCAACTATTTGACTGATCTTCAATTTGTAGCCAGCAAAGTCAGCTGTTGATAGAATTCAGCTGCCTACTGCAAATACTGTGATATACATTTACACATATATATATTTATATATATATATATCATCATGCATATATAAAATTAGAGCGGATGAGAGGGATTCAGTTTGTAGATAGACACCGCTTCGATCAATGTTTTCACCTCCCAAATAAGCAATGTTTTCTTCGTCCTCCCCTGACCACAAATCATGTTTATCCATCGTATACTTTCAGCATGTGTTTCTACTCTACCTTCTTACAGAAATACGTGAGTTGAGACACGTGATAGAAATGCAGACCAGGTCTAAAGAAATAATTAAAGCATTTGCAGGTAAGTTGAACCATATTCAGAGTTACATATTTTGCAAGTAACTTTCAAAATTCTATTATGTCGTCAACGTCTACTCAGAGGTGAGATAGCACTTCTCAACTAGGTGTTTCGCGTACACCTCATATAATTGATTTAATGATTGAAAACGATAGGTTTGCAACATTTTATCTGTTTCCTTACATGCGTCGATTCATGTTCACACATCAAGTAAGCCTTTCTGATGACAAACTGCATCTCCTCATTGTAGAAATCAAATCGATTTATGAGAATGTTATGCTGAACATGCTAGTGAGTTTACGTACCAGAATCAATCCACACACTTTCCTATGACAAGTATTAGTCTACGTTTTGTTTATTCTTCACCAGCAAATCTCATGTCGTATTCATTATTGTCCTGTGTGTGTTTGGAGACAAGTAGATGAGATGTTCACTTCAAACGAATAACTAAATATTGTGTGATTGAAATTTCAGTAATCGGTATTATAATTAGATTGGAAGCTTTGGCTTCTTTCTCACTGGCCGCTCTGTCAGTTTATTGGTTGGATTTTTTAACTGAGGCGCTTAATTCACGTCTTGACGACATTTGAATGAATCGACTGTATGATCCAGCGTATGGACTTAAGCACAACCGATTTGAGTATTTCAGTCATTTGAAGCTGGAAATGTTGGAAATCGCTGATTGATTCACTCACTGAAACGTTTATATTTGCTTCAGCATCGTCCTTGATTTTATTGAAATTACTGATTCATTCGTCATCTCGCCTTCTTTCTTCTGTTCTTGAAGAAAAAACACGCGTAGCCGACAACAAACAGAGCACCGTCATTCGTGTCAGATGGACGTATCCATTCAACTGTTTTCAAGAATCATTTGAAGACAATATGCTTTTTCTTTTCTCTTTCACTTGATTAAACTTAATTGTTCACAGTTTTTGATAGTCGTAGTAGTAGTGATAGTAGTAATAGTTGTGAAATATGTAAGAATAATATTAAATATAATAATAAAAGTAATGATAATAATATTTTGACTTCATTTTGACTTCCTTACCACAATGTTCAATGAGTGCGGTGTGCGTAAAATGTCATTAAGGAAGAAGTCAGAGGAAAATTCCCCTGTGATGGTTGTAGTTTTCCTCCTATGATTACTAGTTAACATCTTACAATCAGTCCCATTTTTCAGTTTGAGAAAAGGAATAGCGAACATGTTCTCAGGTTGATACGGCCTCATCTCATTTCACGAAATCTCTTCAACCGTGAAAATACTAGACTTAATCAAATTATAAGTAAGGGAATGTTTGAACACACTTTTCACCACGACGTCAAGTTATCGATAGAAAGAAAAGTCAAAATAATTTCGAAAACGATGCAGCCAGACAAAGTATTCAGTGATGAGAGACTAACTGTTTGTAGCGCAATAAGAGAAGGGCAGGCGGTTGAGTTTAAATTCTGCTTGGGAATAAGGATTGACTGGAGACTAACTATAAGATCGAAGAACAGAGTGAATTGATACATATTCTGATGGAGAGGTGAAGAGGGTGAGGATGAAGATTAGAGTCAAATTTTGACAGAGAAACAATCAAGTGTGTTTGGAAACTGAATAGTGAGTTCAACTGAGTGAGTGAGAATCAAAATCAAGTGGGATGTTGGGCGACAGGGCAAAACACAAAGCGCACAAACAAAGAGGTAACAATTTAACTGCTCGCATTACTTGGACTAGAAAACACAATTTAATCAAACGCATCTTTTCGGTAACTCCTCATCAAGTAAGTGAACTGGTGGATAATAGCCTAGGTGATCACACCATTGATAACATGAGATGGCATACCAATACTAGGTAATACTGACTAGCAACGACAGCTTGGTCAGTCAATTATTGTGAGTGTGTACGTTTGTAGGAGTAGAGGGATACAGGAACTATTGTCTCATCACAATGTTAGGTTTGATAATTAATTGTGAAATTAAGGCGCAGTATGATAATGGTGATGAAAACAAAGATAACAGTACAAGTGGAGATGATATTTACAGAGGAAGAATAACAGGAGCGGAAGACTGTTGTGCAGTAAATTCGTTTCGAAATACACAATGATAAATGCAACAATTTTAGCATACTTTTGCCAATAAAGACAAGTCAGGACTATATCAGACGGTGTATTTTCATACAAGTGGAAGATTGAATTAAAGCCAGTGAAGTTTTCTTGCCATCGAAATCTATGTAGAATGTGTGATCCACCAGAACATGAGATAACATGAAGTTAAGTAATTCAGTAACGTATTTGTGTGCATATAATGAACGTGTTTCATGAGGTGAGTGTAGTCAAGGAAGGAGAGATAGAGATGGATAGCGCTATAGAGAGGAGAAACTGACAAGTAGGATACGCTGGGCTCAATTTGAGTCAGAGAATGGGACAGAGATTCAATGTGTGAATTGTTAGCCTACACTTTGAACCAGATCAAGAGAAACTCCCTCCGACTGGTTGCGCATTTTATGCTGTGTTTGCAGTATTGCATGAGTGGTAGCTAATCTTTCCTCAACACAAAACAAATCATTGGTAAACATTTTGACACCTGCATCAGTTGAATCGAGCTTTTCTCCTCGGCAGTTAGTCGATCAACCATATCAATGATGGAAACCAAATACTTCAAGGACAGTGGGAAAATTTGACAAATCACTTCATGCGCCCATAGTACGTTGTAAATAGTCTTCTGTGTTAGAAGCCGCTTATTTTGTCTCACTTCTTTCTAGGTAGCTGCAACCACCTCCAGTCACCTCTGAAATACTAGCTACGATGCTTTCCATTGATCCTACAGATATTGTGGCACAATATCTCTTCACCATGCAGTGTGTCTGTTCTAATGATGTATCTCTCGATTTGTGTTCATTGTTGAGGGCCAGCAACATTCTCCTGTCACTTCTACCTGTATGTATTTGTGAGCGATATGCGTTTTGGTGGAAAGCCTCTATTCACTTGAAGTGCTTAACAAGTCATCTGCAACTGTCAGTGAAACCATACTGGTATGTAACAGTTTTCAGAAATCTGGACAATAGTTTACAAGCCGAACAAGAAACGGAAATACTGGTTTTGGAACTCTTGGCTTTACAATTAGCTCATCGAAGTGTCCACTTGTTTGTACGGCATACACCGTAGTTTTTGTTGACAAATGTTAACATGCTGTCACATTGTACCTTAAATAGCACTTCCATGGTTTCATTATGCCTGACTGGAACTGCATCTGTTCAATTCTCGGGTGAATGTTTGAGGATTGTTTAGTTTCGCCAAAGTAATATATAGTTTTCAGTGGTCTTTGCCACCCGAAATTTCCCAAATAAGTTGAAACCAAACAATGTGAGGGATTCAATTAGTGTGACTATTGCATAAGTGGTGATAGATTTCAAAATGGTATATTCACAAATTGTCAAATGATTCAGCTAAATCTCTGAAGTAATCACATTTGGAAGCATACAGTACAGGATGACTTTTTACTGTGGTTTGGTGGATTGACACGTTGAGGTTTCACGTGTGATTCATTGTGTACATTGTAAGCAACTGTCATCACTCCTACTCCTCTCGATTTCTTTAGTGGTTAACGTGAAATGGTATATATATATATATTCACTCAGGTTTTGAATGTTCACCGAAGTTAGATGTCGAGCAACATCCAGTTTTCGTTGAAATGAAATTTGACTTTCTCACATGTTGAAAGAATCAACAAGTATCGACGTTGTATGGCATTGAATTTTCATCACCAGTGAGTTCTTTTTAGTCAAATAAAGTCTGAAGTCAGTTGGTTTGATAATGCTTCACGTAACCTCTTCTAAAATGAAAGTACACTCAGTCATCAAAATAAATTCCTGACATGATGTTTGTTTTGAATTTCAACACCACTTAATGTTCAGTGACTTCCCAAGCTTAGATGAATTACCAGGTGGATGTAAATTGGCTGTTAGACAGTTTCACAGTCAGCAGTTGTTGATACTGGGATTTTGTCAAGATACCTGGAGAATGAAACAAAGCATAACCGTTTTCATTGAAATATCAATGAACAGTATAGTCCTGATATAAATGACAATATTGTTGTGAGTCAAAAGGGCAGCAAGACATAGCCATTGCTGGAAAATTCTTCACATTTTTGACTTCAAATGTAATAAGATTTGATAGTTTGGAATATTCCCATAATATGGATCGAACGTCAATCTGAACGAAGAATAGTCTTTTCAATAATTTCTCTTCAGGTTCCTACAATAATAAAATATAATATTTGTTGTCCGTTTACAGTTCACAATTTATTTAGGATAGTAGGCTATATGCCTGTGTTAATACTTTCGATTTGTTACACACAGGAGGTCCAATCTCGCCTTGAATGAATCAACGGATGGCGCTGATACGATGTGTTCCGGTTGGGAGTTCCAATGGTTCGCAATTCGATGCGAAAAACGGATCTCCAGACGCAGACGATTCGACCGTGGTTTTTGAACTTCGAGGTGATGTCCTCGCAATTGGTTGGTGCTAGAAGGAAGAAATAAATTAGATAAATTAGCTCCTAAATCATTTCTTAGGATACGGTATTCTAGTATTAGGTCACCCCTAAGTCATCTGTATGACAGTGGAAATAAACCCAGTCGACTTAACCTCTCTTCATATGAGAGGGTTGAGAAACCCTTTATTAGCTTAGTTCCTACTCTTTGCACCCTTTCTAATAAGTCTATTTCGTATTTGAAACACGAGCTCGCTGCCTGGATCCCATATTCCAAATGAGGTCTGATATAAGTCGGATATAATATACGAAATATATCAGCGTCAAAGTTCGCAAAAGCCTTGTGTATGGCCCATAATATTCGAAAACCCTTAGTGGCTGCAGCTCAACAGTTTGTTGCTGTTTTCAAGTCATGCCGCACAACCACTCTCAAGTCCGTGTACTCAGTGACCACTGGGAGAGTAATACCATTCACTGAGTAATTGTGCACGTGACTATGAGATACATGCATAACTGCACTCTTGCTTAAG